TTATCACTCAGAAATTAAATTTGCAACTGATAAGAATAAAAATACGATCCTTAGTAATGGACAACACGAGAATATGTCAAAGAAATAAAATTATGTCAGCTTGTCCTTTTGAGCCACTTACATAGACGAAAAAATTTTCGTTTTTTTTAAATAGCTTGTTTCACCAAATGATAAAAGAAAACCGCTCCGATGGCCTAAGTGGTTAGAGCGTCCATCTCGGATGAGAGAAGTCGCGGGTTCGAACCCAAATCAAGTCATACCGAAGACTTATAATAATGAAACTTGAAGATGCCTCGCTTGGCGCTCAGGATTAAGACGTTAATGTTAGGACTGGTCGGCATATATGGAAGGATAATGTGATTGGGTAGGATATAATGCAACATGTCTGCGGCACGATGCTCAAGTGCTAGACATCACTATAAACTGTCACACCGCAGACAGCGTAGCGAAATGACTGAAAAATTGTTAAAGCTACGTAAAAATCCAAAACACACACACATACACACTCACAAACCGAAAGATATACTAACATGATGTACTAATTGAGATGTAAGTCGACATTCATGTGCAATATACATTTATCTACCAATAAGCAATCATATTTCATGTAGTATAAGAAACAGATATTTACATGGCGAAATGGAAACAACGTGGACATCAAGGGGATATTTGAAAATGTAAAATTGCCTAGTAAAAAATTATTTTAGGAACACAGCATTTATCTCAATCAGAAAGAAGAATGTGATTTAGTAATTTTAATTAAAACAAATATATATACTACCTATTGTCGTGTATATGGTACCGCAGAAAATCAAACTATTCCAGAAATTCCATACGGTTTTATCAGACGGACTAGTTACTCCTTGCTTGTATGCCGTCATGATGTCAGCCTCATACTGGAGAAGAAGATCACGTGCGCGAAGCGTCAAATCATCATTGCTCGTACCAAGACTGATTGATAGGTTTAAAAGAACTTGTATGAGCTCCTCTCTTGTTTCGGTAATGTTCTGTTTGTAGAGTTTTTCGTGTGGTGCTTCGATGTACATGAATATCACAGCACCCAGAAACGAGTATCCGACAAGTAAGAAGATTAATACTACCGCGGGAAAATTTTGTCTCATGCAGTCTTTAAACCGATCACTCCTAGAAAGCGCTTTCGTGGAACTATCTGATGAAGTCAAGCTTCTCTCTAAGTCAGACGCTGGCGTTGACTCCTTCGACGTAGTATTGCTAACGGATTGTGTATGCTTGCCATTAGCCTGTACGGCTTGATCACACCCATCTGTGGAAATAGCAGTTTCTGACAGTAACAATCCATCCGTTGGCTGAGGTTCTGGTTCGGCCATCGTACACTTTTCTTTTGATTACCTCTAAATACTCAACATCCACTTCACGAAGGTCTTCCCCTGAAATTAAAAAGCGTTATTGAGAGTTAATTACCAGTTTAAAAATATGTATGCTATAGGAACCTGTCAGCCTTTCATTCCATGTAAGTGTCTGCATATCAAAATGTATTACGATATTAAAACTCTGCATGATTTAAATTCCATCAAAGATACTGCTCTATTTCAGTTCCATCTCTGATTTGCCTGGCGTTTATCATCTGCAATACCAAAGTTCAAGAAAACATAAATGAATTTATTATTCGGTCCTTTCTGTAATGGGTTTGTGGCCGATAATTATAATTTCAAATATTTTGAAACCAGATTTGAACCAGAACACTTCAGGATTGATACATCTGTCTAGCATAAATTGCCTTGTTTCGTTCATGATAGCTTTGTAAGTAGACATACATCAATACAAGTTTATCAAATAACTCTTCTACAGTAATTGTTGTTATTACATGGATTAAAAAAAAAACCATTCTCAATGCTGATGATCAGAGCATGTCGCACTATCTCAACAGTATGAATGCGTATTTGTTTCGTCACATCAGTTTTGTGTCATAAGAATAACGGATTGTGCTTACGTGTAAATATTCATGATCACGTTGGGTATGAACGCAGAAACATCAACAACAAATAAAAAACTAAAACAATCATGGAGTTTTGTTTTGCTCAAATTTTTACAAGTATTGCCTTTTTCGAGTGCATTACAATATGTTTATGCTTCTTTATCGAGCCGTGAAGTATTGTTAAACGCATGATATCAAGTTTTGGCTCGAAGTCCCCTGTTTTCCCATATTTCCAAGGATTTCTAGACAATATTTCTTGTCGACTTAAAAGTTCTCATTACGCGCCAAGACTTAATAATTTTTATTCCAATCACTCAATGACCATATATATCACAACTTCACAATTGTATGACTTCTCCTTGATAGGATTCCGGAGCGTAACTTCAGTACTTCTCACCATGAAAACACAAATCACAACTCAAATATCCAATACAGGGAACTATTTTCGGATTCCATCCCCGGTTAAGCCGAAACACAATTCTGAACCACATTTCACATGTGCCGCTCCACAAAACGGTCTAAAATGCAACAATAAAATTCATCTCCAAATAAAAGGAATAACCCCATCTCAAGTTTTCCATGGCACAGAATATTAGTCCTGTCAAAAATATTTATCATTGAAAAGCACAATCAATCAACACCTTTAAATGAGGATAGAATCTACGTGGCTCATGACCATTTATTCAGCCCTGACCCGATTTCAAACAACAAATCTAATCAATGCATTCATAAAAATCTCGTGATAATGTACGTTATGATTTTTCCTACAAATCGGCTAATTACTCGGGCTCTGAAATATTTCTCTAACACCGACTTGGCATAATCAAACAACGAATGACTAAAATCTGACAAAGCTATAACTAGGGACGTAAATACAAATGGCTCATTATCTAGATTTATTACAACTTGATATTTTTCGAAGCCAAGCGGAACATTTATAACATTTTTCTATCAAATGTATTTAAAAGACGTCACCATCATAAAATATAGAACATCATTAATCAAATTATGAGTAACTTCATTTTCTGATGATAATTCGTTAAGTTCTGAGATGAATCAACCTCAACAGCAGAATATTGAAACTATAAATGAGACGTGTATGTACAACTATAACTACTAAATACAGTCTGACACACTCGCATGTGATCATAAAGTATATATATATATATATATATATATATATATATATATATATATATATATATATATATATATATATATGCATACCTTATATTGAAAAAACATAATATATACGTGTAGATTTGTAGATTTGGGAGATATGAAGGTGGTAGGAGTATTAATGTTAGGTATGTTGTTATTATTTGGGTTCTAACGCCTATTTTCAGCACACGATAGCTATAATGGCAGCCAGCATGGGCATCCTGCACATAGTGGCGGGAGGCCACTTACCCCTCCCCGGCCGCGATTTCATCTCTAAACGTGATTTTGGTGGCGCTCTACAGTTTCGTATTTAGCATAGGGTTAAAATTTTAAAGAAAAAGAGTTTCCCCGGGTTTCCTCACTAGTTATACTGGTGTTTTAAAAGAGACTTTGTATATCTTAGGTATTGTTCAAAGAACCTTTAATTCCCTTTATTTTGATGTATGATTGATGGGTGTAATATGGGTTAGAGAGTATACAGCTTGACCTTACTGCAGATGTGAACCTTTCAAAAAAGTGCTAGCTCTACTTACTCATTTTCACTTCTCGAACTTCAAAGGTAAATTGTAAAAAAAAGAGCCGATAACTTTTTTTACATTTTATGTATTTGGTAATTCAGTCATTGCACTTTTAGAAGCTGGTATTATCTAGTTTGGCAAAATTCATTTTCCATATTTTAATAGCTGCCAAGAATAGTGTACTTTAGACAAATTTTGGTTGATTTTTGGAGCACAAGGGAGCAGCCATTTTAGTTCGCAGTGTCCTAAGCTCATTTTAAATTTTCAAAAGTACAATATCCAAAGAAATTTCATCCACATTACATGAAAGTAGTATATAGGTATGCCAACATTCTCTCCACTGTGCATGTTTAAAATGCAAACAACTTCACCTTACATACATCACTCTCTCAAAAGTACATAATAACTGGTGAGCGCCACCTTTGGCATATATCCGTAGCAGTTAATAGTTGACCACTACATGTTTACTCTATAACCCACCCACCCAAAAAATAATTATGCAGGCGCCCATGTCGGCTAGTATAACTAGTGGAGGACACACGGTACTAATTCTATGGAAGAACTGTGAACCAGTCTAGAAATGGGTGAAGAAATATAGAGTATATACGGGTTTGGTGGTCCATAATTGGTTAATAATGAAAAGTAAAATTTTATTAAAAATATCTTTTGAAAGTTTATCCTATGTGTAATTAAAAAAATATAGACAAATTTCTATTGATGCAATTTTAGTATTTTTAAAGACTTGACTTAGGATTACTCAATAATGAAAGTAACACTTGATTCGCTAGGTGCTGAACCAATAACATGGACTTCATGCACATGTAGGTCAAGAAAATGCCGCGGCTCATATGGTGTTCTCCACACAGAAGCTTGCACCAAGGATAGTTGTGAATGGAGAAATATAGGTCTGATCATCAGTACCCAGAAATTTTAAGTTATTGAATTTTAAATATGATGGTGTTTCCATATCTTTACTATGGGAGTTGAATTAGTACCGTGACTCCTGGAGGTGGAACTTGGGAAAACCACCGTCAAACGGGTGGCTAGTGGCAAGCTTTCTGACACCAACAATGATAGAGCCCAATACTCTAACCCACGCGGACAGAGGTGAGATGGCAGAGATCAGTAAAGGCAATCACTTTAGAAGACTCGGCCACCCGGGACCCCTCCAAGTTAGGTATCTCAATTTGTTTGATCTATGGCATAATCAGAAAGAAGAAATTTACGAAGCGTGCTCTTAAAATGATAAACTGCTGGCGCTATGGGGAGTTTTATTTCACAACTCTCCAGCGTCGTTTTGAAATGAGGCAAATGAAGATTCGAATACAAACGAGAAAGCAAAGGGTTGTGAATGGGCAACCGCAACCGCTCCGGTGGCTTAGTTTTCAGAGCGTCCGCCTCAGATGCGAGAGGTCGTGGGTTCGATCCCCGACCGAGTCATACCAAAGACTTACAAAAGTGGTACTAACAGCTGCCTCGCTTGGCGCCCAGTATTAAGAAGTTAGTGTTAGGACTGTTGGCCTGGTGTCAGGATAATGTGACTTTGTGAGACTTCATGCTACTTGTCTGCAGCATGATGCCCCAGTGTTAGACACTACTATAACCTGCTTCACCGCAGACATCATAGCGATATGACTGAACAATTGTTAAAGCTACGTTAAAAATCCCCTCCCACATATTAAAGACATTAAAGAATACAAGTGAGGGCAGATAGTCTCTTCTTGTAATAATTCTTGCGGCTCAATTTTGGAGTTTAATTATCTGACTTAGATTCTTAACATTTTCTTGTAATAATTCTTGCGGCTCAATTTTGGAGTTTAATTATCTAAGATTCTTAACATTGCAATTCCTCCAATACGGTGCAATCAAACCAAAGCAATATGTATGCATTAAAAACATTTTTGCATGGATTCTGGCACATACGAATACAGTATGAATACAGATTGAAACTGAATCTGGTAGTTGGACAGAATCAAATACGACCCTGAGCTAAAACAGAACATGTAAGCAACGTTTAAGTTTTAGCAGACGACAACAATTTCCTTATCGAATATTCTTTGTACTCTGAACTCAGGAAAAGGATATTACAAAGTAATAAGCACTGCTAGAGAAGTCCAAAAATATTCAAACATCCGGAGTCCAACAACAACAAAGACCTAGATCTGCCATGGCATTAAACGACGGCAGATCTGGGTCTTTGCAAATTGGTATTAAACTCAAATACAAAATGGTAATCTAGCGCATCTATACTGGGGAAGTTTCATTTTGTATCTATAAAGCTCATTTGATTAGAAATGCTCTTTAATCCAATTAATATGTTGAATTATAGTAAACAACAGCAAAATAACGTTTACAGTTCATGGTTGATGCCAAATTACTGTATAAATGATAGCTTGTCATTTTCTCCCTCTGGGCAATGGCTTTCGATTTATTTTTAGCAGCTAAATGATCGAGTTTCTTATCTACATTTTTTTCATTAATGTACATTTTCTTCACATGTAGAGAATAAAATGCTGAATTTGTGTTAATAATGCTATATGCACACATGCACGCCTTACATCAATGTTGTAATGTAATTCATGTATGTTTGCTCAAGGGCAACCTGGTCTATTTCAGTAAAGATTTTAGAAAGCACTTGGTGCATCTTGTATCTGTTCTCTAAGGCTGGCTAGAGCAATACAATATTTGGTCGATCAATTTTACATAACGCATTATTAATTCAACCAGGAGACACGTTTTAAAATTAAGCAGATGATTCAAGCTTGACGAATACTGAACTTTAATATTCAAAGATATACCAGTATAATGGTGTTTTCTTCAGCGGCATCAAAGAAACCCCAGCTATACTATATGCCGCAAGATTATTTCACACATCTGCCCAAGTGCTGAAATTTACTTGAATTATATTCCTTTTTTTAGTACATTGTGTTGAACAAAATAATGTAAGTAAACGAAACCCTGTGTTCAAGGTTCCACGCTATAATTAAAAGGACTAATAATTTAAAATAACATAAAGCAGATTCTGAAACTGATGGGAATTTTACACAAGATGATACATTTTATGGCTTAAATAGATGATTGTGAACTGGTGGTTTTCAACACTATATTTTCAATCCAAGTCGTCTATACTAAATGTAGGATCAATTTGTTCATTACTTATACAGTATCACCTCCCTTTCCAACCAGAAATAGAGCTATAATATCAAATTGAGAGAGAGAGAGAGAGAGAGAGAGAGAGAGAGAGAGAGAGAGAGAGAGAGAGAGAGAGAGAGAGAGAGAGAGAGAGAGAGAGAGAGAGAGAGAGAGAGCATCAGTGTCAATCTGTACCTCTACAATTACAGCAGGTTACACGCCTTTACTGTAGACGCCTCGTGAAGAGTTGGGCTTAACGGCATGATTCCCCCGCAGTTTTATTCTGTGCGTGGATATGGAAAGTTTAGTTACTTTGTACATGGCTGATTCACGCTATAAAGCAAGCCATACAATCCATAGCGAGGATGCTCGTAATATTGTATAGCCACGGTTGTAACACTCCTTACATACCTTCAACTGTAAACCGGAGATGTGCAAGTAAACGGCTATGCACTCGAGCTTGATATCCTAACAGTAGGATTTCCTCATTACAAGCCGAAATTATAAACGATTTCTTTTCATATGCCTTAATGGACTTAAAAAAATCGAACCCTATTACCATAGTTCTCCTTTCCCTGGGTCAAAGCAATGACCCAAATCAAGCTATAGGGATTAGAAACCCCAAAGAAATATTCTTTCCCTTTGTGAAAAAAACATTTGCAGCCAGTGTTTTGTTCTTTGCATAAGAATGGATGTACAGCGTACATTTGGTAACCCTGATAGCGTGGTAAATATTATCAAAGAACTTATTAAAACTCCGACAGCATATTAAATATTATGAATGCGCCTTCGGGGCATAAAATCTATCCAAAAACTCAAATACTTTCTAAATATCTCTATGATCTCAAAGCTGAAATAAATGAGAGGTTTATTTTCTGTCTAGTATCGATTGTCTCTTTGAGAGAAGACAGACAGGTAAAATAGATAGTTACCAGTCCAATATCCAATCAAGAAAAGCGAGTATCAACTAAATCTAGCTAGAATCGAATGAAGAAAAGCTAGGAACGAGTAAAATAAAAGCGAGTATCGACGACAGAAAAGTGAATATGGAGTAAAGAAAAGTGAGCACTGATTAGAAAAAGCGATCATCTCTTTTTATTAAAGTCTCAGGTTTTCTTCTCGCTGCTGAAAGAAAAAAAAAATCCAGTATTTGCTGTCCCAATTTATTGTGGTGATGCCGTATCGGTCACACAGTTCAACACATACAATATCTAAGAAAGAAAGGCTCAATTCACGTCCAAATGTTTTTTTTTTCTTCACGAATATATTTTAACCAATCTTTTATCTTTCTTTTAACACCTGTGCAACCTCTTTCTATGAATATATGGCACAGACAGACAGACAAGCAGATAGATAGATAGATAGATAGATAGATAGATAGATAGATAGATAGATAGATAGATAGATAGATAGATGGATGGAAAAAAGAAGCAAGGACAGATAGACAGGCACAGACATAAATTTAGACAGGCAGGCATTGATGTGTAGATACATCTGTACCTCTTTTTATAGATACATGTCACAGACAGATACATAAATATAAAGATAGATCGATTGGTGTATAGACAGAGAGACAGGTAGATAGATAGTTACCAGCTAGGTTTGAGGTATTGCACTTGGTGAATCTTTAACTTTTTCTTCAGTTTTTGCCTACTATCAGAAACACATTTTGGCATGTACTTAAATGTACCGTCAGTATCGTAGCGAGTAATACGCCCATACTTTATATAAAAGGCTCAATGTAAGACTGGTGCTGATCATGGGCGATAAAGAATGTTGACGTGTTGTGAACGGAAGTAAGTGGGTAACAAAGGTTAATGGTTGTGACCTAAATTAATGCGCGTGCTCTTAAACTTTTGTACACATGTTATTAAAAATGACCATAATCTTAGTTGTTATAATGTTATGTCAACCACCGCCAACACCCTCAACCAGTTTCAATGCAAACAATTATATTTTGTTTCTGAATCTTAGAACTATGAGCATTTACCTGATACAACATGTCGCGCTGAGAGCTGAGTCATTTCTCAACTTTCTGCATAGTGAAATAATAACATCCCAGGTAAAAGTAGTTCTTTTTTTTTGCCTACAAGTTAGCTGTGAGGATAAAATTAAATATCATTATAATCCTGTCAAATTGGTAAACACCAAGAGTTATTAAACACTCCCCGATTTACTTTTGTCTCCTATGCATACATGTGCATGTAGATCTAGAACTTCATTACCACTGTATCAGGATAGTATAAAATTATTAAACCTCTGTTATTTGTTGTAACATCGTCTATGCGTCGATGTTGAACGAAAACTTTCTTTTCATGGCATACTTAACATCATGCTATGACAACCTATAACTCATTCATATATAAACATGCATTTTAAACTATTCACCAAGACAGATATTTCTAAACGAACTAGTTCTGTCTCGTTCTCGACATCGTAACGATTTTGTCTTGTGCATCCGACCTTATGGTAGCGTGCATTTTAAATATGAAGTCGTGTATTCTAAGCGAAAGAACGCCTTGATCTCGACGTTGCGACTCATTTATTTCTGGTCGTGCATCAGAGCTTATCGTAACGCATCGCAGGATTAAAGAAGGTAATTTGAATCGGATTCAGGCAGACCTGCTGAATAAAGAATAGACGCCAGGCTTTGCTGGTACACAGTCTAAATCGGCAAACTTATTAGAGGCCTGTAACTAGTTCTAATTGTGTTGATTGATAAGTGGCGTTTTTCTCCCAACAACGACGCCATTCCAATAACTGCGAATTCGGAAACTTACCCCTTAGCTGCAGTGATTGGTTGGTGGAGTCACATCGGTCAGGTGCATCATGGGGCAAAATATACTGAGATTCTGTACTTTCATTAAAATGGAAAATTATATTTTCTAGGGTCTCAACAATATTTGACGTGTAAATCGTTTGTGAGAAATTCATGCATATTGCAATAAGACCTACTAATTTTAATTGCAACATCCATTTTGCATGGCAATAATATTAGGTAATATATTTATATAATAAAAAGTCTTTAAATACTGGAGGACCTTAGTGACCAGAGGTTCAAAGCGCTCATAGTTACGCATCACTATCATGTTGCCTCTGTCTGCGTGGGTTCGAGTCTCGCTTTCGGCAAATGTGGGTATGTGAGAGAGCTTGCCAAATAAACACAAAAACTTTGTGTTTGTAGACCTCTACAATGCTGTCTCCACATGAGTTAAAACTATAAATACAATGAGCATGTATAGACTTGTTGCGGATATATATATATATATATATATATATATATATATATATATATATATATATATATA